AGCACTTGGGAGCCTTTCACATCTGGGCCTGAAGAATTAAAGAAAAATTAAATTTGACAGCAGTAAATGCACAGGCACAATCTAGACACCAATTTATATGCAAAACGAAAAGCTTTATGAAAATTTCCTCCATTTTCTCACGCATATTTGGAAGAGAAAGCTTTTTTTTCCTCCTTTTCTGGATGCTTCACTCCCTAATATTCCAACTACTTAAATATTATACTGCATCCACAGCAGACTCTCTTTGATGTATAAATAATCAAGTTAAATTATGTGCAGTAAGGAGGCTAGGGCTCTGCCATTCCTATTTTACAAAGTAATTTCTACCCTAGAGGGTCAAATTTCCTGACAAATTCTTAATTACTGCGTTGCAACAGAAGTGGAATCTATTTGTGCATAAATCTCAACCATTCCCATGTGGCGAGTAACTAATATTATCAGCCATTTCACTTGGCCTGCTCACTGAACTCCATAATTAGATAATACTTTTGATGATGGTACATTTGAAATCTTAATCCATTTAATTTTTTATGAGCTTTTTCCCCCCTTTATTTTAATAGGGATATGTTAGTGACCGCTGCCTATTTAACAATCATTAAAATTCTGTCCGCAGCAGTAATAAAGATTAAAGATTACTAATATGCCATTCATAACCTTGCCTGTTTTCCATATAACCAGGGCTTCAGGTAAATGTTAAAGGTCATTTAATATGTTAGCCACTAATTATAATCCTCTCTAATAGGTTCCTATTCTAATTATTCTGGTATAAAACGTCTATTGTTTGGGGTTGGATCTCTGATTTTCTTATTTGACATGAGTAATCTTGGAATAAAGCTCTTTTAATGTTGATGAAAGCAGGTAATGCCCGATGATTAAAGGGATGAAGTTGCATCCCCCTCACTCCTCAAGCTCCCCTTTATTTTACGACATAAGAGTGCTAATCCTTTTCACTGGAAAGTAATAGGTCCAGGAAATACCGCAAAACAAAAAAAGGTTTCAGTTTTAAAAAGTAAATATTAAATACTAAACATATTAATGAGGGTTTTATATACAGCATGACCTGAAATTCTGAAAGTTTGGTGAGAAAATGTCTTGTAAGATATTGGTCAGCTAATGGAGCTCTTAACACATTTAGGTTTATATCTAAATTTATTTCTTCAGTGAAGAACTTTGCACAGCCCTGCCTGCCTAACTGCATCTCTGTGGCATAGAAAGCAAAGCAGTTTCCAGCATCTGCAGTTGCTATCTTAGAGTCCCAATTAAGAAAGTGACCGAATTGCTCTGGGAGTGTTAAAACCACCTGTGGGGCAAACTGGACTAGCAGTTAAAGTACTTTGAACTTAATTTTTTTTTTAAGAAAGCATGATGTAATAATGTACAAAACAGGCAAAACGTTTCAGTAAAATTTAATTGCTGACATTTTAAAGCCTAGCGGCTTTTTGCATTTTGCATTAGCCCTGCTTATAATTTTGGTGACAAAAAAAGCACTGAGTTGAAATGGCTTAATACTAAGTATGCTCTTGAAGTTTCTGAAATCAAGGTGAAGCATCGTTTAAACTTACAGTCCATTATTAATATTTACAGTCCAGCTGGAGCTAAATAACCTGAAACCATGCCAAGTGTTTAGTTTTGCAGAGTTCCAACTATCTATATTCTGCTTCACATATATTTGAATTTTCCACAGCTGTCATATTGTTTTGTTTGTTGCGCTGTTGTCAGTATAAGGAGATTATTTATTTGATTTAATCAAATCCATACTTGAATTATGAAGACAGTAAACCCCTTCAAATTACACACTCCCTCTTGGGCAACATTGCTTGTTTAAAGTAAGATCTGCTGGTGATGTCTTTTTATTTAGCACATGATGTTGTTGGTGTATAGCGTTGTTTACCTGAATTCAGCACAAGATAAGGTAAATAACAGTTCTATTTCATTTTTCTGTGAGAGCACCACTATAAATACAGAAGTTTACTACATTTCACAAACAATTCCACAGAAATTGAGACTGTTTTGAAACCTGCTGGGGTTAAGTAATCTTCAACACATTTCTTGTAGCATGTAAATTAGAATTTGATATAAATACAAACTTATGTCACGTATAGTATACTGTATCTTACTGTGAAATGTTAATTCTCTATGGAAGTTTGTCATACTGGTTTCAGGTACAACAAAATATACCACAATCATTGAGTTAGGCTAGTTTTTGCTGCTGCTATTTTTGTTCTTTGGTGTGTGGCAGAGACGGTATTTGATGTGTTACTCTACTGAACATTTCTCTTTACTAAGGAAGGTTCTAATCTGTTACTGTACTTTGATTGTATTGGAAGTTGTGCTACTCCTTTTATCCATTCAAAAAGTTAGATTTTTACAGCTTCAAACGCTAGTTTTAGTGTTACTTTTGCAAAACATCTTTAAAGTCCTTCCACTTTAGATTTTTACTAACCATTTCCAGAAAACACCGTGACAAGCCATAAATACATATTTCATTTTGTATCATTGGCTTTCTATCTGTTGGTAAATTCACATTGCCCGCTTATTATCTTTTGGTCTCTGGTACTTTTCTAATACTTGTGAGTAATTTTGTCACATTGTGGGGAGCTGTCATTGAGATACATTACTGTATGTGACACAAAGTAAGCGAAAGTATAGCACTGGTAGTCTCTTACTCTTTCTTTTAGATACCTCAGAGGATCAGGACAACCCTGCTTGTCTTAGGAACGTCTTGTCACTCCTTTATGAAAACCGTGAAAAGTAATATGTTGTTTCCAGCAACTCACCAGTGCTTTTGTTGACTTTTGAGGCAATAAAAGTTTTTTCAAGGCCATGTTTAATTTCAGTCTGAGAGTTTTCAATACAAGGGAAACTTTCATAATATGTTCAACATATTTGCATCTATTGTAAAAAAAAAACAAAAAAAAAAAGCAACAAAAAATGTCACATAAATACCAGGATAGGATTCTTCATTTGACATTCACTTTCTCAGCCTTTGCACACAGACTGCGTAGGGAAATGTCAGAACTAGATCTTCTCTTATAGATTGTCTTCTTCAGACACTTCAGTCAGAACTGCTCTTCTGGATTTCATATTGCTATGTGACGGTTAGTGCTTTTAAACAGCAAGCCTGGGATTTCTTATATAACAGCAACCTCTGCTGGAACAAACTAGCATTCCACTGGCAGTCTTGTCTGCATCAGACAGTGCACACCAAGACGGAAATGGGAATTCAGATGAGTCTCAAGTGTTTAACTTGTGTTTGTGGCTTTTGTGTCTCTTTTCACACCGCAGGAGACGAGAACAACTCTCTACAGTCTTTAGGGCTTGAATCATTTTAAAAACCTGTAATGGCAATTTCAGTTGCCCATCCTGCAAATGGTAACTCTTGAGTATGATTTAGAGCAGTACAGAATTTTCATGCATTGGTCTTTGTTTTTAAAGACAAAGACCTTTGCTGTCTGTAAAGGAATTCTTGTGTTTGGACATGTGGCTCGTGATATAGTTATGGTTGAAGAATGGTGCAGAAATGACCTTTTCACAATTTTGCAATGACATTAAGGTACCACATGGCCATGACCTGACCAGTCATCAACAAGTATCTTCAATTATTATGAAATTATAGTGCGGGGGGCATCTTTGACTGTTACTTTTGTCAGCTTCTCTTTCCAGTACATCCCAGTACAGATTATACAAAGGAATGGGCTATTATCTTCAAGAAAAGGATTGCTGATCTTTTCCACACTAGTTAGAAGTATTCCTGCTAACCTGAAAATAGTGACAGACAACACAAAAGATTTTTGCCAATGCTTTGTACTGTATGGTTCTAGACTAAACAGTAAGATTTCAGTGCTTATTTCCTTACATCACATGTCTATGTGTACAGTATATTGTAGATGTAATCATTCAAGCAAGAAAAAAATGTGCTGTATTTCAAAGTTTGTAAAATGTGCCACTTTCAATGTGTAGCCCATTCCCAAGCTCATGAAACATCCAGAAAGTGAAAGTAAACTAAATGTGACGTACTGTAATTGCTATATGAAGTATTGATAGAAAAGTAAGTTTGCTCCATTTTACCCAATGAAAAGCTTGATAATGTTTTCATTTCCAACACAAAGATGATGAGTAAAGGTAGCCCTTGTTATAAAGCCTTATTAAGTTTTTCAAGATTGCATTAAATATTTTTTAGTGAAATTCTTCAATTAACAAAAAAGAATGGAAGCATTAGCATTATTGTAAATGCGGAGAGGAAATGAAATTGTCACAATACTTTGGCCTTTGGACTTAAACATAAATCTAATTTATCAGTGATGCTGTGTGACCCTAGTTTTCACCCAGTTTATCATGTTAATTAATCATCTGCACTACGCTTATTGTACTTTTGATTTTGTCTAAAAGATGTGCTTACAGTGATAATTTGGATGAGGTGGAAGTACCATCTTTAGAAAAAATACTTACCAGTACCTTATTATCTCAAAAAGAAAATGTCATATTATTGATATTTCCAGCAATGTAAATTTAGATAGCTAAAACATATTGAACTAAGTGAATCCCCTTTCTTCCTGTAAAAAAAAAATGGAATCAGAAGTCAGTCTGACTATGTACAACTAGTTTCCACAGTCAGATTTCTTTAGATGCATATACAGGAATTTTTCTTTGAAAAACAGAAATGGTGAAAGGGGGAGTAATTAGTGTGACCTTTTGGCTTTGTGAAACTGAACTCTAAGAATCACCTGGTAAACATGGCTTTCTGTACAAGGGAAAATTAGTTGGTAAAGAAGAAACTGCTGTTTCAGAAGGGAAACGTACAACAGTGTTATGTCAATTACATAGGCTGTTGAGAGGGACTCCTGTAATAGGAGGCGGTGAGGGTGACTGCATGATAAAATGTTAACGGATAGTGGTCTAGAGACAGAAAAATCAGATTAATAATGAGTTTAAATGAAACAGAAGCCACTCCGTTTAGAGGCAAACCTATCACATTAATGTAGTGGTGTCTTCTCTTTCAGTTAACCTTCGAGCGAGGCAAACTTCTGCTGATGTCGAGTGACCAAGAGGACATTAATGACTGGTACCGGAGCCTGTCGTCTGCCATCGGGTAGGACTCCTGAACCGTGCTGGCTGTCCTTGCTACTGCCACTGACCTTGTGAACACTTCCGACAAAGGTCGGAATGGATTCATTGATCAGCTACGCCAAGCATATGACAGTCTCTGCCTTAATTGAATCCCAAAAGGGGGCAGTCTGGGTTATTATTACAGAGGCCAGCCGATAGCACTCATTAAAAGCTCCACAGACTGTGAGGTTCAGCTAATTAGTTTATTATACAGACACCTTGACGATGGGCAAAGTTGTCATTTTGCCCTTTATTGCACAGGGGATGTTGTTAAAAGTTTAATCAGCCGATGCTGACCAACTCTGCGGCTGCAGGGTGGTCATTACTAGGGTCATGCCTGCTGTTCTGCGGCTGACAGGGTCGCGGTGAGATGCTGTGGCAAAGACAGCATTACATAAGGTAAGCGCTCACCTGCAAGAGAGATGGGGAAAAAAATAAATAAAAATCTCCCTGCAGGTGGAGGAAAGCAGATGGCTGGAGAAACGACTAACCTAATATCTCTCCATACCTACGGTACAATGTTAAAATATGGGACGTGGAAGGAAAAAAAAATGTTGTTCTGGAGCCCTTTCCCATCCTCTTGATGGACATTTAAGAAATCCATCTATTAGTAAACACTAAATGTTAATGCCAGACTAGATGTTAATGGTAAATAGAATTTCTGTTCGGTTTTTTTTCTGTTAATGAATGTAAACGCATCCATATCAGAGCTGTGTAACAAAGCCTTTGACATGTACCTTGATGAGCTGAATTGAGACATTTAAAAACTAACAACTTAAAGAGCCTTTCTGAGCTAGACTGCCTCCAGATCTGCTGTTCCTCGATGAATATTTAAGTTATGACTGTAATTAACATGTGTGAAGTTTTAAACTATACTAGGCTTTTAACCTAGGTGCCTAAAAAACAACTGATTATTCACAGCACTAAAATATTTAATAGTGATAATTTAAATACCATTAACATTTAATATTAAGATGTGATAATAAGACATTTGGTAAGCATTTTGGTTTTAATACAGTATAAGATTTTATAATAATACTTTAATAGTCATTAACTTATTGATATGCACTAATCTGTTCTCTTAATAATGGAAAACTGTGTCTAAATGACTTGGCTAAAGGAGATTAGGAATAATTTAAGATTTCTGTCTATACTTGATCACTCCTGGGTAGCAAAGAATGATAAGTATCAACTGCGATATTAATTTCCGCAACTCAATTTTATGGCCAGGCGTTCTCAAAATCAGCAGACCTTAAACTATGTGCACATGGTTATTTTATAAGGGCTTAGGAATGGTTACAAATGAGAGAAGGCCATTCAGCCCATCTGCCCCATGTAGTAGTTAGTACAGTAGTTTACTTGATTCAAGAATCTACTCATCCAGCTGTTCCTTGATGGAAGCGAAGCCAGGATATTGGCTTCACTCTCATGTTTGGGTAGGTATAAGGTCTTTCTTAAGGTATCGCGTGAATGTGAGTATTTCTCACGGAGCAGCCGGGCAGGAAGGGTGTTACCATGAGGCCAACGGCTACCTTCAAAGTTTAGTTCATTTCAAAAGCAAAAATGAGAGAAAATGTGCATCAGTCATTAATAACTCAGCCAGTACACAAAAAGGGGCTTGTAAGGAGCACGAAAAAATGAAATGCCACTTGGGGTTTGCAGCAAATCACCTAAATGATACTTCAAATGTGTCGCAAAATGTCTGTGGTCAGACAAGACAAAACTGAAACTTTTGGTCAAAATGCAAAGCATTCCATCTGATGCAAACCCAGTATATAGTAGTACAACACTATATCTGTCATCAAGCATGGTAGTGGCTGCATTATGTTATAGTACTGCTTCTCATCAGCAGGGAAACTCGTTGAAGACTGTTGGGAACATAAATGGAGCACAGTGTTGGCATATCCTACAGGACAAACTGCTTCAGAACCCAAAATCTTTCAACGGTCTAAGCAATAGTGGAGTGGTTTAAAAAAAGTGAAAGCACTTGAGTGTCCCACTCAAACTCCTGACTTGCATCCTTTTGAGAATCCATAGAAAGAGCTGAAAACTGTTGTCCATAAGCAATTCCCAGGCAAACAGAAACAGCTTGAACAAATCTACAAAGAGGAAAGGGGCAGAAATTGCACTAACCCAGTATGCAGAGTTGGTAGAGACTAACCTAAAAAGACTAGCATACTATACTTACATAAACAACATATTTGGTATTATTCTCTTTAGCTTTTGCTGACATTCACTGTAACTTATTTTACCCCAAGTAAAACATTCTGGTTTTGAAAAATATTTTTAAAAATGTGTGATTTATAAAATGGGACAAAATGGGAAGAGGGCACAAGACGTAATGTTGTTAAAACACTGTTGTAATTTCAAAGACCCATATTACTGAGTGTTCCTACACAAGATTTTTTTTTTATGTGATGGTCATGTGATGATTTCGTTGTTTTCAAAATTCAAATTAAGACATCTTTTAAATATACGTGTTTATGTATTTGAATGTTCTAAATTCATGATTTCTTTGACAAAGTAGAGAATATGAATTTTGCTATTAAGCCACTAACACATTTTTCATACACTGCACAAGGCATATTTGAACTTCTATAAGTACTGCTTATTGCAATTAATCTATATTTAAAATAAATAATATACACAATATAAATTCACTTAATAATCAGTATTAAAGTTAAGTTTCAGATTATCTTCACTTTCAGCTCATGTTATTTTCATTTTTTCCATGGGAGAAACCTGATCTGCAGCCTTATGTCAGTTAATTGCATACTAGTAATCTTAATGTCATGATCTATTGACTTTTTGCAAAGGAAAAAAAAAGATGACAGTGTTATTGTGATATTTATTTGTCATGTGAAACTTAAAGAAATGAAGTTTCTGCAAGGATTCAATTTAAACGGCAGGGCGGAATTAGACACAGTTTTGGGGTTGTTTAGTCGATCAGTTTTTATAGAATCAATGTCTTTAGCGACAGATCGCCTCTAAAGCTCAAAAACAATGCCCCCTAGAGTCTCAGAGTTGAACCTAAGGATCTGTCTCATTCTGGGAAGCTGTACAGGCGTTTATAGGAAAACCAATGCAGTAGAGCTTTGCCAAACAAGAACAGACAACCTGATCGGTTAACAAGTCTCTGGTATGGCAGAATCGGAAAGGCATCAATTGCTGCTTGCTGTGCTAAGGTTAACAGTTCTATAAAACCAATGAAATTGTATCTTCATATGTACAGTAAAAATGTAATGTGCAGGAATTTCAGTATTTGCAGGTTTTTAAATAAATTCTGGGAAATGCCTAGCCAGAAATAAATATCTTTTTTATTCTTTGTCCCAGATGGGTAAGGGTAAGATGGGCCAAAGGGCCTTGTCTCATTTCTTATTTCAATTTTTGCCATTTTCTGTATTATTTTTCATCAGTTTCATTGAGTAACTTTATTATAACATCAATAGGAAAGGCAGAGGGCCTCTACATAAGATTTAAAAATGTGTTTTAGTTGTTGTGGGCAAGGCATGTGGCCCACATGATAGATGAAAATCTTTTTTATGCAGTCTGTCAGTGAAAATGTCTCTCTTAATGCAGAGCAGAGCAGCAACTGTGTAAGCAACTATCTGTGTAGTCTAATTGATTAGGAATGATCCTACAACTCCCTTTTACTTACTGTAACTGCCTCCATGCAGTAATTGTCGACTCACCCATCGTTACAAGCCTTGTTCAAGTAAATATCTCTGGGATATTTTCACAGATACAGAGTAACCCAAAGCACAGTTTTCTGCAATGAGACCTGGGTTCAAACTGTAAACAGTTCAGCAGGTATACCTTAATGAGGCTGTTTCTTCTTACTGTCTCCTATGGATGGGCTTGAGTTCTGTGGTGACCTCAGTTGGAGTGTATCTAGAATTCTGTTCTGTTCCATTACTTTGTGGTTTCTAATACAAGCAGGCCTTATAGACCTATTAAACCTTTGCAAGCTTCATACAATTTACAGACAGAAGAATAGTTACAAACAAGACGCGGCTATCTGACCACATTTAGTCTGGCCCCAGATTGAAGGAGCTCAGAGGTTGGTCCTCAAACACTAGGCTAGGATGCCTGGGACAGACAACCACAACTCTTTGTGTAATGAAATTTTTCCTCTTCTGTGTCCTAGCTCAATTCCCTTTTTCCTTCCAATGCAATTTATCTGAAAAAGTTTCACATTGAACCTGTGGAGACACTTTGATAGAACTGAGAAATTCAGTGTACTGCAGCATTTCTTGTTACCATTTTGGCTGTGAAGCCACAGTAGACAAGTCAGCTAATACTGAAATATGTCTGCTAATTGATGTGGTGTGGCTGGTTCTAGTTGTCATTCCAGGAACCTGAAAAACATTAAAATGTTTTCGGTCATGACATGGCATTTTTCAGTCTAGCTTTCTGCCATACCTTGTCTACTTATTTGAGTATAATGAGGAGCTGGCACCATGATTTTTTAAAGGGAAGAGGGAGGAGGCCTGGTCCAGAAAGAAAGAAAAACGTTCCTTCTGTGTAATTGTCTTTCTGCTCACAATCTGCAAATGAACACAAAGTTAACATCTCTTCTGCATTCAGCCATGGACATCTTACCAACTCTGTTATAATTAAGTAGCACGTATGTATAAATTTTGATATATGGCTTAATTTAATTTCATAAATTATTTACTGTTGCATGCCAAGAATCCTAAGCCTAGTTAATGGGTTGATTCTTTTAAATTTAATGGAATATTTCATCTATGCAAAGAGAAAATGCACCATGCCTTAACCAAATGAAGAATAAACTCCTGAGCTTAATTGCTAGTCGTGTAACAATTTACACTAGAGGTAGTCTACACAGTATATTGTATTTCTTATATTTTTGACAACATATTTTGTTTCTAAGTGACATTCCTTCAGTTGTGGGACAGTAAACTTTGTCTTGTCATTTTGATATTGTCGTGGTGTTGACTGGGGTGATAGATCAAGGGTTTAAAGTTGGTGGCCAATTTGTCAGCAAATTACCATGATTCAGCTCGTACCATGTAATTTGATAGGATAGTTTGTAGTTTGCTGTTGAGGAATTGCAGCTCCACTGTAATTGGATAATCAGATGGCCAGAGTGGACTCTTAACACCTGACTCACTAGGTTCTGATGTGGAAAAGAGAAGAAAAGAAATGCAATGTGCCACCCGAAGAAGGCTCCACTGCCGAAACGTTGTGTTTCTGTTCTTCTCTTTTCAGCATGGAATAAACCTTTACTTGTTCCTTTGCAACCTGCGGACGCTGACACAGCCACCTACTTGAAGTTCCGATGTGTATGAATGATGAAAGACAAGGGGTGAACATGGAATTGGGCACACCATCTTTCATGAGGCCTAAATATACAGCTCCCACAGAAAACACTGGATGTGGTTAGGGTGTGGGCTGTTCTAATGCTAATCATGACTTAGGGGACTCTACCTGTTTTGACAGTGGTGTCCTTGAATGTGTGGTTCTCAAAGCAGCAGTAGTTCACCACTTATTGAAGTTGGCCTTCCCCCTACTTATATGACCTGTAAAATAAGCATTGTAATACTAGATTTGTTTCTGTCATTAGACAATTGAAATCTAGGAGCACAGTAGTGCACAAGAGAGACGACCTTTCTCGAAAACCACTACGATCCAATGAAGAGGAGACTATTCCGAACAAGGATGGACATCCATACAGAAGGAAGAGGAACATGGTGAGTTTTTTCTATGTTGTCTGTTCACCTTCCTTAACTCAAGATCTAAATTCCATAACATATTCCTTGACCAGTTTCTGTCATCCTAAAATAATAGTCCCTGTATGTATAGAAAGCATTAGAAAAGATGCTTCTGTGACTTGTTTTATAGAGGTTAACAAGGATTCTCACTATTACCATTCCCATTTAAACCATTCCCAGATTTCATGCACAATTCTCCCCCTTAGTTTGTTGTTAGGATGACAGGTTTTGATCAAACATGCATGAAAAACTGCCATGAACTTTTAAATGTGCATTTTTATCTTCTGGAGCTAAACTCCGCTCAGTTGCACTTGACTGAGCTCCCATCTTTTTTTAGAAACCTGTTGACAGGAGGTGACACTAAAGTTCTGTAATGTTGTGTTAAAAAATAAGAAAACATTTTATAATTCTTTGTTTTCTCTGGCTATGGGTAACGAAACTTTGCTCTGTGATATTTGGTTGAAGGTATCTGAAGAAGGTACCAGAATGGCTTTTTCATTTTAGTCTTTGTTTCATTTAGGTCAGCAGTTGGCAGCAATTGTAATCTATGCTTAAAAACAGTGAACTGAATAAGGACACCTCATATAATTGCATAAACAATAAACCCTTCTCCCGTCACAAAAACACTTCTAAGATCCATAGTATTTTTAGATTAGAATTTTACAATTTTAGCTTTTGTGGGTGTCATAAGTTCTAGAGATATTATAAATCTGGTGTTTAAACCCTGTGGTAAATTTATTGGGAGCCTCGAAAGATTCTTAAGGTGGGTACGAGTTCTGCTTTCTCTCCCCTTAGTAGTAGTCCTTGGGATAAATGTGCTGTACTTATGACTGATAAAGGGAGTCAGCTAAGCACACCAAGCTACACATCAGCCTTCTTACTCCTCTGAAAAAATACCAAGGGTTTCCTCTTTTGTTCAAAGGGTGCAACCTGAGTTTTTGTTGTTTTTTGTGTATGCGGTCCACCACCACCCCTCCTCACAGGTTGAAAGAGAGGAGAAGGTACAAACTGTGAACCCCAACTCCCAGCTCTTCCTCCCTGGGAGCCACAGCACAGCATCAAAGAGAATGAAACTGGCAGATACTCCCAAGGAAAGGTATTGTACATTCTAGCTTTAGGTCACAGCCGATCCTGGTGTTGCCAGGGTTAGGGGTATTAAACATTTATCTTTCTTGCTAATTAGCAGGCCATAGTTTGTCAAACTTATAGGGGTGACTTTTTTTCTGTATGATTTTATTTATTTATTTCCCACCACCAATCTGACAGCCAATTACAGCATGAAGAATGAAAGCACAGAAGAAAAGAAAGAAAAAATAATGAAGGTTGTGCTCAGCAGCTAAAAAATATCAGTGGCTGTGGTGCGATCTTTTAGAGAGGTATAAAGAACCTTTAGGCACTGAGTTTTATCATTAGGATTTAAGGGGTTCTGTTTGTTTTATGACTGTTTTTGGACAGACTGGCTAATGTGTTTTAGCTGTAATTAAGTGATTATTGTAATGGAATAGTGTGAATAATTGATTCTTGCGTCTCTGCAATGTTTAATATATTGAAAAACAACTTCGGTTTGTTCAAAGTAAATAAATTGTATCTACAGCCTCATTATAATCCTTCCAATGAAACATCTAGCTGCAAATGTGTGGATCAGTTTCACAAAAATGCTGTTCTGAAATGAAATTTACTGAAAGTAAACAGCGCATAGTTGGAAGAGTGAGCTCAGGAGGTCATTGATGGTGCGGAAGTAAAAAATATATAGATTGTACTAAAATGTAAAAATATGGTTTGAATTCTGGAAATAACTACAAGAAGAAAACATCCAGTTTTCTTAAGGTCACACGTAGCACATACAGTGTGAGCTTTACGGGCTTCTGAATGGCTACATATAAAGCATTACTCGCTAGGTGGCACTAAATTGCTGTATTTGTTCACTCTTCTATCTTGAACAAGAAATTACTTCAAGACATGTTTAGTCATTTCAAATCTAGGAATACCTAGTACCTAGGAATAACAGCTATGAGATCTACGGGACTCTGATCATGGACACAGATGTCATGGTTTTGATAAAACAAATGATCCCCTTACATGGCTGCATAAGTAAAAGGTCAGGTGACTGTGCAAATGTAATTAATGTGTTAAGCAGCATATTTCATTACAGGGGTAGCAGTAAGTGAGATGTATCACCCTGCTTGGAGATGTCACCTAGACCATCTCATTGTGGAATGCAGAAATGTTGGTTTCTCTGCATATCTTACAGTATTAGTCTTTGATGACAAAGCAGATCTGCAGACCACCTGTACCAGGTTCTTCAAAGAAGCGTAGAGTAATCAGGCTATGGTTAACACTGGTTATTAATTGGTCTATGACACATAGAAGAGAAAGGTCACACGTGCTAGAAAAGGTAAATGCAAAGTCCAGGAGAGTCTTGACATGGTTCAGCAGCTGCTGCAACATTATTTCTTCCAGCCCCTGGGTACAATGGTGAACATATGACAGAGAACAGTGAAGTAGTATTGTTTGCAAACATTATCCTGGGGAGTCCAATCTGAGTCAAGCTGAAGTCTAAAGGATATAACTTCAGAGCAGCTGAATGTTAGGACTTATCAGTCACTTAAGCAGGGTTCACAGATAAAGGTGATCATTCCCAAAAAAACGTTCCCAGAATCCATTTGACTCACATTTCAGTCCTGCAGTTTCCAAAATTTAACAACACTGACTTTTCTCTTCTTTCCTCAGTCCTGAAGAACCACAACACACAGGGTCCACCTGTGTAATTTTATAAAAGAAGCACAACGTTGGAGGGATGCATCTTACAATTATTACTGAGCAAATAACATTACGTTGTAGAGCGAGAACAAATACTAGGTTACATGTGCATTTGTTGTTTTTTTTGGTCTTTTTTATTTTTTATTTTGCTATATATCAAATGAATGGATCTGTCACAGTGGCTTTAGACTGTTTTCAGTCATTTTAATAACAGAAAGCTAACAGTTTCGAAGTGGACCACTTTGAATGTAAAACTCTGTTTTAAAAAAAAAAACCTTAACATTCCAAAGAGATGAGGCTAAATGTTACATTGGTGCATGATTGCTACTGATTTTATTAAATGTATATATATTTTAGGTCTATATTACAAAGAAAAATTAGATTATCATACCAAAAGAATGGCATTTATATTTGTTGTGCAATTATTTGACAGCATTTTTAAGTTGTATCCATATAATTCCAATAACACAAATTCCTTCCAGTGTTCATGGGTGATGTATTGTATTGCTAATAATGTCATCAGTAAAAGGTAATTTAAATGACACAGGGAGGTGGCAAGTGCAATATAAGATATAAACACATTGGTCTCTTCTAGGAAAGATTAAGTGATATATATATAAAAACTACTGGTGTATCTTTGTTTCTTTTACTTTACATTAAGTTTAAGATAAAACATGTCACAATTAAGTGTTACAATGAAGGATTGATTACATCATGTGAATTAAAAGTTTAGTTGTTTTATGTAAACTTTATTGATTTTTTTAAATAATTCATCTGTTCTAAAGAATCATGAAGCTGATTTGATTAAACTTCATACTATATCATCATTGACGTTCTCATGAAAGATAGTATTTCTGTATTGTACACTCAAATAATTAAAAACAAATTAATCTGTTTATCTCTACATTCAATAATCTGCCATTTCACTTTGTATTTTATTAGGCTCCTGTCAAGTCTGTTTTATGTTTTAATGTATGTTTAATGCATATTTTCCTGTTATCACACCTAATGATGTTTATATGAGTAAGGTTGCTCTGACAATTTTCAGGATATTCATGAATAATGATTAAATGGGAGTGGCTTTCAAAAACTGTTTATTTTGGGTCTTAATTCTGTTTTTATAGGAGAGAACCTTTCAAATGCAACACATTTTATTATAATAATCTCTAAAAAAATAAGATGATTTCCTCAAGGCTCAATATGTCAAGCTTTATTTTAATGTCCTGTTTTTGAAACTGGACATTGCAAGTCTAATTCTCTTTTTCTCATAAAGCTTTATTTAAAATATTATTTCCAAACACAAAGTAATTAACTAATGGGCAAATGGCTCAGCTGGACAACACAGGTCACAGCTGGAAAACAAATTAAATGTACCAGATGCACTATAGAGACTAGATAGCAGCAAGACATTCTAAAGGCTTTCAAACAAGTTCCAACCTAATACATTGGGAATCAAATAGCAAAAAATGTTTCATGGAGAAACAATTTACATTACAGGCTGTGTTTTGGCAAGCAGCTGATAATCCAGAGATAAAATGTATCACTGCACTGTCTGAAATACAAATCTGAAGCAGGCTTAAGTGTTGATAAACTTAGTGATTCACAAATAGATTTTAAAGGGGTTTTTGAATTCATTGGTCAAATTAACTTAAAGGCTGATGCAGGGCAAAAGAAGACATAAATGTTTGTTCTGTTCTAGTATTTCTTGCCTATCTGACCTCCAAACACGACCAAGCCCAAAAGTAGGAAGAAAAATAAAAAATAAGAATATAACAAGCAGTTTTGAAGACTTGTAAGCAGTTCTTACCCATGTACTGTAGCAGCAGAACATAGCTGAGGTAAAAATAATCTGGGCACGACTTAAAAGAATTGCAACATAGTAAAGAAATTCTGGTTTAACATTGTGAATTTAAAGTAAGTTAAGGGGAAACTGGTATAGCCGGTCTTGAATTTTTTGAGAAATGGTGGCTCGGAGGCCATCTTAATTTAAGTTAGATCCACATTTCGACACATGTTAATTTGTTTTGTCATAATAAATTCCTAAGAAGTTTGTAATTAATGTTAGTGAAGTGTTTTTCAGGAGCAGTTTTTTGTAGGGGGTATATATCAACAAGAGGAGAAGAAAGCAATAATATATTTTTTGTAATGTCATTAACAGAATTAAAAATAAAATAGTAGTTTAAATCGAGCATTCTTCAAGCACAAGAAAAGATCAGAGATTGAAGACAAGCAGGTACTCAAAGTGGCTGCAGCAGAAGCTTTGAATAGCATCACAAAGAGTTCATGTGAGTTTATTAGTTTGCACACTTCATTCAGTTATTGCCTCAAAGGGATGTTTTGAGACACTTTGAAATATACTTTAAGTGAATGTGTCCCAATATTCATGCTCACTTAAAGTCACTGGGATGAACTCATAGTATTTTTTAATTCTTGCACAATAAAATGTATTCATGGAATTACAAATATATTTTTAATATTCTCAAGACCACAAATAAACACTGCTTGACTGTAAAGCAAAATCAACTTTGTCTTTGCAGTCCCAGTTCTTTTGGAGAGCACTGTATGAGAGCTCATGGTAACAGTTCACTAGAGGGAGCTCTATCTAGCAAATTGCTTCAATTTGCTTCTCACAGTAGATCTATATGGAGACAAAATATTAATACAGTTTTCTTTGACTGTCTTAGCCATAAAATGTCTTAGTGGATGTTTTGGAAATATTTTTTTTCCCAGTGTGGTGTATTAAAACATTCTCTCATAAGTAATGATTTTACAATTTGCATTGCAATCTGACCAGATGAATAGAACAAAATCTTCAGGTAGTATTTTTTGTTTTGTGCTAATTTTGTCCTTATACATTGCGCTTAAAATAATGTTTTTTTTAAAACAAAGAAGAAAGTAAAAAAAAAAATTAGTATTAGGAAAAAATTGAACAAACAGAAACGTGCCTGGATCGCAAAGTCATTCTCAGCGTTTGACATTACACTTTGTGATAATGTTAAAGAATAATGTCATGTGATAATATCAGGATGAAGAGCTCTGAATAAATCAAGTTATTATAGTGTTCGGAAACTGACACCATGTTGTTTTGGTGCTCTTTGGTTACTATTGAATTAAATATGACCTTTTTTGTCTCTGCTGTTCTCTGTCTGGTACTTATAAGGACAGAGGTCTTCTCTTTGTAGCGAACTTAATTGCTCCCTCTGGCCTCTGTAAGCTCTGCAGCTGCAGGAATGCTGAAGGCTCCCAGACAGCACTTCAGGCCTCGTAGAGCTGGCGTCTTCCACCAGTGTCACTCGAGGGTTTGAAATACTATCCTCCAAGCTATCAGATCTGTGATTTCTGTAGACTCTTTTGTCTTTATGTAGAAAACATGACTAATGTGTCGGAGTGTTTTGCTAAGTTGCGTTTTTTTTTTTCTGAGGTGGGACATAAACTTTTCCAAATAAAGTCAGAAGTATTTTGTGTTCCTTTTAAATTTGGCTACACATATTAGTACTCTTGTCAAAACATTAAAAATTGATTTGGGTTTATTTTATTCCAACAAGCAGGGTATTAAGAAACTCAGTAGGGAGAAATGGTTTTGCGCGAAACAGATTTTTAAAAATAATTTTATTATTTTCCTTTGACTGCTTCTCCTTTTATAGTATTTTATATATTTCTTTGCCATAATTAACTTTGGGGGACACTGTGCTGTAGGAGGTTCCACCATTCGGATGAGAAATTAAATAAAGGTCCTAACTATTAGGGGACTAAAAGTAAAATTGGCATAAACCAAATAAAAAATTAAATTAAAATGTAAGAAACATTTAGTATATGTTGTTCACTGGCTTACTTGAGCTCACAAAAGGTAGATGGATAGTAATTAATTTAACAAACTAAAATACAAACAGATCCATTTGTTGCTCTATTACACATCAGTTGACCTGTGATGTTTAAATTCAAAGAGAGAATACATTTTCAGAATTTTGAACTTATCTACATGTTCCCTGTAACAAACTGGCACCCCCATAAATGTGTAGTTCTGCCTCATTCCATATTCCTCACAGGTAGGATCTTGGCTCTCTGAGGATGGATGTAATTTCTTGTACAGGAAGAGAATAATCATCTGTTAGGTATTAAAAAATGCCAATGCGCACAATACTTGCAATTTTACATTTTTACAAATATTTGCCCTTTATTTTCTTTTCTACAAAATTAGAAAAATTCTCAATCAAATATAATATAGCACATAAATCCTTTATATATTATAATGAATGTACCACAAACTCATTGCCTGGGGGAGTAGCAACCATCGGGCGTGGGACCTCCAGAGGTTTCTTTTTGTCCCGTGGGAGTTTTTCTTTTCTTCACCACTGTGCCCATATGGTCAGCTGTTGCTATACAGTATTGTCAACTGCTTTATAATTCTGTAAAGCTGTCCGTGACTTTTGCATAGGACTTTAAAAAAAGATTGATAAAATGAGCAAATGATAAAAATGATATTTTTTTTTACTGGTGCTATATCTAGCTGTAAATGGTGCCAGCTGTTTGAACTGAATATATGCATACTTGGAAGTGGTGCTGCAGTATCTACCCTTGCTTAGAATGAAGTGCAGCTCCATTTGGGAGTTCAGCTTTCCAGCTGCCACAGGCGCCCTCAAGCATGCTTGTGGACATCATGCTCCTTGGTTTACATTTAACAGTGGAAGTTGGTTGCAGTAAAAAAGATAAAAATATATAAATATGCATTCGAAAGCATGGAGAGGTCTCCTGGTTCCATTGAGTACTGTTCAAAGCTCATTAAAGTTTAGGTCAGGCATCATGGGTCATTCCTCCTGCTTTGTTTCTGTGTTGAAATAAAATAGTTACGTTATCCTGCTGGAAGAAAAAATGTGCTTGGGAACTATATTTAATGATATTTAATGCAGGCTCTTTTCACAAGTGTTGAGCAGCTCTGGAAGTATTAAACTTCAGGCAGTAAGCAAAGATGTGTTGAAGTTCATTTCTAACATCTCCCTGGCCTCATTGCAGCAGATCAAAGGGAGATTAGGGGTTTGTTTTTATTCATAGCCTTAGTCAACTGAGTCAATGCAGTACATTCAAAATCTACACCCCTTTTCACCTCGTCTCTGTCAGATATTGTTTATTTTTTTCTAAAAAGCCAATAGACGTATCTGAATTGATTGCACTCCAATATTTCACATTCAGTTAAGTGCAGATTTTCAGTTTCTTTATTTGATTTATTGGTGTAACAAATCTGGACTGACAATGTATGTCAAGCTTCCGTTATAATATGCAGATCTATTATTTTTAAATGTCTCAAAAAAATCTAATTTTTTTAAAATCAAGTGTTGAAATGTGCATTTTCTGTTTTGTCTTTTAATCTGTTTAATCTTATGTAAAGTTCATATTTATGCATTGTGTGAGGTGATTCATACATCCCCAAAATTGTTTTTATTACAATGACCATTTTTGAATTACTGAAAGTTATAATTGTAGTCACAAAATTTTAAATATAAAAATATTAGTACAATTCCTGCTGTTCTGTATCTGCATATATATTCTTTATAGTCCGGATTATTCTTTTGCAGCAATGTCACAATATTCTGATTAATAGTATTAATCCTATATATAGCATACATTTACATGGAATTAGCATACAGTTGTTGTATGTTACCAGTATGGCATGGACAAATGGCATAGGACACTGAACAAAAGGATAGAAGAAGTGTTAATCAGAAATGTGATGACAGTGTGGTTCTAGGTTTTTATTAGTTTAACAATGAATGATTGCTTTTACAGCAGAAAAGAAATAGCCACCTTGTATGTTAATATGTGATTGTTCGAGAGGAGCCATTACATAGGGATCTACAGTATTTGTCTTGGGGTCTGCATCACACCCTTCATTTTGCACAGACTTGCATAACATAAAAATAACGAATGGATGAAATATAAATGGAACTCTTATGACAACTTTAAAAGGGAAATGAACGATGTATTAAATTAATTATTCTGTTTTCACCAAGGAAAAATCAACAACTTGCCTAAGGCTGAGGAGAAAGTGTTTCATATTAAATCATATAAAAAAGAGGCAGAAATGTTGCAG